CTTGGTAAAAGCCTCTGTGCTGTGTGGGACCGGACCCCAAGCTTGTGGCTCCAGCGAACCCTGTGGGTGCCACTTGGAGCTTGGAAAGCCGTCAGGGACTTCTGTTGTCTCGACCCTTGCCTGGCCGCCAAGGGGCCTCAGGGAGGACACATGCTTCTCTTCCTCTCTCAGCCTCTTACCTCCAATGGCTGGTTCCGAGGGACTAGCAGAGGAGCCTGAGATGGCTGGACTCCTGATCTGTGGAGTAGGGAAGCATCTAGGGCCCTTGGATGGGTCTGGAGTCTGTCAAGATGGTTAGAGCATTCTCAGTCACAGAGCATTGTGCCAGAAGGCTCTGGACGCTATGGAGAACAAAGCCAGGACATGGTTCCCTTTGTTGTCCTCCAGGGACCAAGAGTGACAGCCCCAGCTGGTAGGAAGCTGGCTGGAGCTGACCATTTGCCTGCGGGGAGTAGAGCACGCCAGTCATCTAGGTCCCACTAATAGGAGATACTGACGTGATGTGTGAGCGTCACCTGCTGTCCCCAGTATTGGGAAGACTCCAGTTCTAGTGGTGGTCAAAGCTCTGCCTGGGGACATGGATCCTGTCGTACCCTTGCCTGGGACAAGGCAGGGACAGGAAGAAGGAAGAGAAGGAAGGTAGGAAGATGTGGAGGAAGAAAAGTGAGGGTAGATAAACCTGAGGGGGAGAGGAGGGCCCAGAAGCAGGCGTGGAGGAGTAAGGTAGCGGAGGGAGCACTCAGGTGCAAGGTGAGCGCATGCTTGCAAGCGTGCATGTACACACCTACACATGCATGTGAGTATGCATGTGTTATGCACATGTGCGCATGTTTGCATATAGGCATGTGTACGTGTGTGAGCACACGTGTGTACATACAAGTTTGTGTGTGTGTGCGTACACACATACACGCTCTAGGACAGGTTTGACTGTGTCCCATGACATTGGAATGAATCCATTGTACACTGGGACCATGCAGTCACTCCTTTAGTCCACTGTGGGTCCCAGGCCCCTGGCGCTCATCACGGATTACCTTCAGCCTGCGAAGACAGCCTGCCTTTGGTTTTCCCCAAAGACACCTTAGTTCTTCCTTCCTTCCTTCCTTCCTTCCTTCCTTCCTTCCTTCCTTCCTTTCTTTCTTTCCTTTTTAATTAAAAAAAATTTTTTTACTGGGTACCAGTGACAGAGAGAGAGGAGTGATGAGCAAATGGGCTAAGAATGGGCTGGCAAAACCAGCAGAGAAACAGCTGACCTGAACAAGGGGAGAGCTCTTGGACCCCAGACTGACAGCTGGGAGGCCAGCATGGGACTGATCCAGACTCCCTGAGTGTGAGAGTCAGTGAGGAGGCCTGGGCAACCTATGGGGCCCTGGGCAGTGGATCAGTGTTTATCCCTGGCATACAAACAGACATCGTGTGTCCATAACACAAAGAGGCATGCTCTCTCAGCCTGGACTCTTGAGGGAGGGTCTGGACCCTGCCCTGAGAGAAATGACAGACTCTAGAGATCCCCTATGTGGAAGGAAGTGGCAATAGGGTGGGAGGCTGCAGGGGGATGGTGGTGGGGGGTGTGTGAGTAGGGGAGGGAGAGGAAGCTGGGATTGACATGTGAAGCAAGCTCTTTTCTAAAAAAATGTAATAAAAAATAATGAAAGGAATTTTTTTTTTTACAAAGTGGACCTGTCCAAAGCTCCAAGGGACTTGGGGGGGCAGGCATTCTTAGGCAAAGAGGCCACATGCAGACTAGAGTCCATGTACGCATCAGGGTAGGAAGGCGGGGTGGTGGGTAGGCCATGGGCCTCAGCCAGTTCACTCTTGCACGCCACATGTTGGCTGTGAGGATTCTAAATTTAGGGCACGGGATATGGGTCAGTGGCGGAGCACTTGCCTAGCGTATGGGAGGCCATGGATTTGATCCTCAGCACCATAAATACAAACAGAGCCAGAAAACTGCTCTCAGCCTAAACCTGCCATTCTGCAGTGTCGCAGGTTGTGCTCACTGATTTGCATACTTTAACTATATACTCGATTTATAACCTAAAAGTTTCAAATATGCATATGTCATGATGTTTTGTTTGTGATCTAACAAATAAAGCTTTCCTGAAGATTGGAGTGCAGAGTTAGCCACGCTGGTTAGCCACGGAGGCCAGGTGGTGGTGGCACACATATCTTTAGTCCCAGCACTCAGGAGACAGAGGCAGATGGATCTCTGTGAGTTCAAGGCCAGCCTGGGCTACACGAGAGAGAAACCAGCGCTCACACAAGGTGATCCCAGCACTTGGGATCCCACGCCTTTAATCCCGGCAATAATGAGGTAGAGACAGGAGCGATATGGCTGGGTGGAGAGGAATATAAGGAGGGAGGAGACACGAGAGAGAGAGAGAGAGAGAGAGAGAGAGAGAGAGAGAGAGAGAGAGAGAGAGAGAGAGAGAGAGAGAGAGAGAGAGAGAGACAGACGCAGTCTGAGGACAGGGTCGTCCCTTTAGTCTGAGCTTTGCTTCTCTGGTCTTCAGCATTAGCTCCAGTATTGGACTCTGAATTTTTATTGTTAGGAACAATTAGAATTCTTGCTACACGCATAGGAAATGTGGGCCTCAGATGTGTGCGGAATGGGCCAGATTTCGCTTCTTTTCCGGAGCCTGGACCGGTGCCCAAGCTATAACACAGCAGGTCCCCAAGAAGCCACTGTGTGTGATGAGGGCTCACTGCTGCCACCAGCCGCCCTCAGGTCCTGCCCACTGTCCTCAATTTGTGTCAGATCCTGAAATAAGAACAGAAACAAGTCGGAGGCCAACTACTTAAAAGGGGACTTTATTTACTCCTTTGGAGCAGCGTGCTAACGCCCGACTCCTCTCCAGGACATGACAATTCCGCAAAGCTCCTGTTCCCTTCGGAACCAAGACCACCTGGCACTAAAAACACATTGAAAACATTGATTCTCTTCCCTTTTTTTTTCCTTTTTGTTTTTCGGTACAAAATGATACAAACGACAATACAAAATATTTGTGCTGTTGACGATTACAAAAAAGTCGGAACATCTGTCTCACCGCACGATGCTCAGAGCTGCAGTGTGAACACATCATACTCCGGTATCTTTCCCAAAACAACCACAGTCATGCGGGCTGCTACACATTTGTCCATTTTCAAAAATAAACATGCAAAAAAAATCATAATGAAAAAAAAGAGGAAGAAAAAAGCAAGATGCGTCCCAGGTGTATATGGAGGTGGTTGGTTTCCACCGGCTGGCTGGTGTGGCAGAGCCTACTCGGTATTCGGTGTGAATTACCGCACCTGGCGCTCTATGCAGGGCAATTCTGCTTTGAGTTTTTTGGTTTTGTCTTTCAGCTTGGGTGGAAGTGCAAACTTCCCTTCCCCCCGTTGACCTTGGAGAGCACAGAGGTGGTGTCATTGTCAATGGACCGCGTACTCACTCTGGGGGAAACTGAGGCATCTCTGAGGGCCTTGACCACTGGCCGTTACTCTGACACTTCGGTGGCAGGGGGCCCAGTGTTTTGGACGCGCTGAAAGACACGAGGGAGAAGCTGCTGGCTGGGGGTCAGGTATGACTGAGGTTGACCATGGCCAGGTGGTCTTCCAAGCCGCTCAGCAGTGTAGGTTTCTCCCTGAAGGAACTGACAACACCCTTGTGCCCCACAGAGCTGGCCACCAGCCTAGTTTGGCTGGGCCCTGACACGTTGTATCTACAAGCTACAGAAGAGAAACATTTGACGCTGACTGTATGCTTCGCTAATGCTAACTTGTTGGCCTTGGAACAGAGTTCCAAGATGGGGATGCGTGGAACCCTGTCTTTCTCGCTGATTGGGGTGTTGGGTGAAAGGGGCAAGCCGTCCAGCTTTTAGGGAACCCCATGAACATTCCTGCAGGGGCCTGGCAGTGACAGAGGTCTGGGGTAGGGTGGGGTCAGGGGAAGGCGGAGGCAGGTGAGACGGTCCTCCAGATAGCTGATAGATTTGGTCCCTCCCATCCCAGGGTTCCAAGAAAGTCTTGGGATTTCAGAGGCGAGTTCAGGACTACCGTGTTCCCATATTCATATGTGCACTTCCAATAGAGCATTCACAGTTCTCGGGTTTTCCAAAATCAAACCCAGAAAAGTCTTCTCATTCCCCCAGCCCTGACCCACAACAATCCCACCAGTGGCCATGCCAAGCTCGGTACCACCCTCCCTGGTTGCGGACCCCGAGCATTTTGCATAGGAGAGCTTATCTCCCCCCACCCACCCCAGCCCCGGTCCCTACCCCTGACCTTTTCGTGAGCTCTGCTGGTCTGGCTGGGTGTAAGAAAGCGGACTCTCAGGAAGCTACAGAGACCGCCTAGGACATATGCGGGCGTGAGGAGTAAGAACGGACACAGTTGAACTCACAGCAAGCTCAAGTCCAGGAGTTCAGAGTGGGGACAGGTTTGGTTTGGGGAAGAACCCTGACATCCAATGGGCCATACCCACAAGTTTGGCGCCCACGAGTTGACTCAGGTGCATCTTTGAGGCCAAAGCAGTCTGGAAAAGGAGACAAACCTAGCCATGGGTCAGGGCAGAGGCCACGAGGAGCCATGAGTTAGAGACCTCTGGCTGGGAGTGTGCTATCTCCCGGGTACACCAAGCCCTTTGGCAGCCATCCTGGCCCCAGTAGTAGGTATAGGCTGGGGATCTGGGACAAACTTATTTTTTCATCAATGCTGGGATTTCTGTTCTCTCCCCAAGGAGACATCTTTCTTGGGGAGTGTGTCGTACTACCTGGGGTAAGCCAGGAAGCTGACTCAGCCCAGGGAGCTCCTCCAGTGCCTTCCTTTCAGCCCCATCCCAAGGCTCCTTTGGGCCCAGACACGCGAATGTCCTAGGTCTGTTTTCCCGTCTAATGAGAAGGGCGGCTTTGCCATCTCCCACAGGTCCTATTCACTGTCCTACAGAGGTGGTCACTCGGCCCAGTTTGCCCTGTATCAAGCTACCCATGCAAAGAACAATGCCAGATCCAGAGAACCAGAGCATATGTGGTCACACAGACACCTAAGAGAACCTCACGGGCCACTTGGAATAGGCCCTGACATCCACAGCAGTTCACAGGGTCAGGAAGGAGCTTGGGCTAGATGGGCCCAGGGAAGCCAGGCAGCTGCCACAGTCTGACTAGGCTCTGCCCCCTGCCCTCTGCAGAGCCTGGGGAGTGCATTGAGGGCATTCGGGGGTTCCGTTGAGGGTGCTTGCGATTGCTACGCCTTCAGCAGGATCCCTCAGGGGCTCTCCCTGAAGAGCAGAGGGCGGTGCCAGTGTCCATCAGGGTGCTGTGGCTTCTTAGACAACACGCTGTCCTGGACCAAAGCGAAAGGGGGCCTCGGTGCTATTGGGGGTGACAGCTGGTCCAGAGAGGCTTTCTGGTGGACATGTCATTGGCCAAGCGGAGAGACAAGGACCGCTTGGGGTGGTCTCTCGGCACCCCACGCCTGCCCCAGCAATTTACAGTATCTCTGGGGGGTGGAGGGGGAGGACACGCAAGTTCAGGTGAAAGCCGAATCCACGCAGAAGTATCTCTGCTGACGGAGTTGGGCTAGCCCACTGCCTTTTGGCACCGGAAAAGTCCGATCCTCACTTAGCAGCCTTGGGGAGCCCAAAGGGCCCAGGAGACACCGACCGTGCCCAACAAAAGCCGTGGAGATCTGGACCCCATACAATTTTCGCAAATAAGCCATCCCCCTTCTTTTTCTCAATAAAAGACTTTAAAAAAAAAAGAAAAGACATATTCTCTTCCACTCTTTGCTTGTTGCTCTTTAGAAGGGACCAGATGGGGTCAGGGGCTGTAGGTGGGGATAGACAGAGGTGGGGCCTCGGGCTGTCGCCTCTTTCAGTCACTCCTGAGTTAGGGAATCTGTCACGTGTACCAAAAGGCACTTTTGTTTGTTTGTTTGTCTTAACAGTGCTTCTGTTGTAAGAAATTCAAGTTAGGGCTGTGCCTCTGGCTCTCCCTTCTCGGCACATGGCTACTGAGGTGCCTGCAGTGGTGGTGGGTGCCCTGTGGGTGGCCTGTGTCCGTACTGCGCAGCTCCACTCGGGGGTGGGGGATGGCAGTGGGGAGGGGCCTCTTGACACCGGGAGGACTCCCGTGCCTTGGCTCAGTCCCGCTGCTCGGCCTCGAGTGCCCTTCTCGTGTCAGCGGGAGAGGTGAGGTTGGCTAGTCCTCCTCGCCACCCCCATACATGTCCGCCAGTTTCTTGAACCGGGGCCCCCAGTCATTCAAGTAGTCATAATCTTGATCCCCAGAGCTGGAGGAGTTCAGGGAGCTGACGGAGCCTGCGGTGGAACCACTGCCCTCGTAGTCGAAGACCAGCAGAGAGTCGTAGGGGGGTGCCGTGGGGTCGTTGTCAGCGGCTCGGAGTCCCTGGGGAGGTCATCCAGACAAGGGGTTAGGGTGGGGTGTGTGCTGTCAGCCCACTGATCTGACAGGGGAGGACCCACACTAGGGAGTGGGAGGAGGGCGGGGTCTTATGCACAGTAGGTACACAGTAACTGCTGCATGCGTTTGTCTGCGGCGTGTTTCCAAGGGCCAGATGAGGGAGCATGTTTACACAAGAGCAGACACAGGGGCTGGAGAGACGGCTGAGTGCTTGTCGCTCTTCTGGTGCCCACATGGCAGCTCACAGCCGTCTGCTACTCTAGTTCCAGGGGAATTGCCCCGTCTTCTGACCTCTGTGGGCACTGTACACACTTGGTGCACAGACATAAACGCAGGCAGAGTACTCATGCACATAAAATAAAATATGTAAATCAGCCGGGCGTTAGTGGTGGCACACACCTTTAACCCCAGCACTCGGGAGGCGGAGGCAGGAGGATCTCTGTGAGTACAAGGTCAGCCTGGTCTGCAGAGCGAGTTCCAGGACAATCTCCAAAACAATACAGAGAAACCCTGTCTCAAAAAACCAATATGTATATTTTGTTAATTTGCATATATATAACAAAATCAGGAATGAAAAGGGGGACATAATAATGGACACTGAGGAAATCCAGAGAATCTTCAGGTCATACTTTGAAAACCTGTGATCCACAAAATTTGAAAATTTAAAAAAAATGGACAATTTTCTGGATAGATATCACTTACCAAAATTAAATCAAGAACAGATAAGCAATTTAAACAGACGTATAACCCCTAACTAAATAGAAGCAGTCACTGAAAGTCTCCCAACCAAAAAAAAGCCCAGGCCCAGATGGCTTCAGTGCAGAATTCTACCAGAAATTCAATGAAGAGCTAATTCCAATACTCCTCAAAGTGTTCCATACAATAGAAGCAGAAGGTTCATTGCCAAACTCTTTTTATGAGGCTACAATTACCTTGGTACCCAAGTCACACAAAGAAACAACTAAGAAAGAGAACTACAGACCAATATCCCTCATGAACATTGATGCAAAAATACTCAATAAAATACTAGCAAATCGGATCCAAGAACACATCAGAAAAATCATCCACCAAGATCAAGTAGGCTTCAACCTAGGGATGCAGGGAAGGTTCAACATATGAAAATCTATCAATGTAATTCACCATATAAACAAACTGCGAAAGAAAGTGATCATCTCACTTGATGCTGAAAAAGCTTTTGACAAACCAACACTCCTTCATGATAAAGGTCCTGGGGAGATCAGTGATAATAGGAACACACCTGAACATAATAAAAGCAATATACAGTAAACCAACAGTCAACATCAAACTAAATGGAGAGAAATTCAATGCAATTCCTCTAAAATCAGGAACAAAACAGGGTTGTCCACTCTCTCCATATCTCTTCAATATTGTACTTGAAGTTCTAGCTAGAGCAATAAGACAACAAAAGGAGATCAAGAGGATACAAATTAGAAAGGAAGAGGTCAAACTTTCACATTTGCAAATGATAGTTTACATAAGGGACCCGAAAACTCTACACAGGAACTCCTAGAGCTGATAAACACCTTCAGCAAAGTCACAGGATACAGGATTAACTCGAAAAAATCAGTAGCCCTATTATATACAGATGATAAATGGGCTGAGAAAGAAATCAGAGTAACATCACCCTTTACAATAGCCACAAACAACATAAAATATCTTGGAATAATGCTAACCATACAAGTGGAAGACTTGTATAGCAAGAACTTTGAATCTTTAAAGAAAGAAATTAAAGAAAGTATCAGAAAATGGAAAGATCTCCCATGCTCTTGGATAGGCAGGATCAACATAGTAAAAATGGCAATCTTGCCAAAAAGCAATCTACACATTCAATGCAATCCCCATCAAAATTCAAGCACAATTCTTCACAGATCTTAAAAGAACAATAATCAACTTTATATGGAAAAACAAAAGACCCAGGATAGCCAAAACAACCTTGTATAATAAAGGAACTTCCGGAGGCATCACCCTCCCTGACTTCAAGCTCTATTACAGAGCTGTAGTCCTGAAAACAGCTTGGTGCTGGCACAAAAATAGACAGGTAGACTAATGGAATCAAATTGAAAACCCTGATATTAACCCACACACCTATGAACACTTGATTTTTGACAAAGAAACTAAAATTATACAATGGAAAAAAGAAAGCATCTTCAACAAATGGTACTGGCTTAACTGGATGCTGGTATGTAGGAGACTGAAGATAGATCTATCGCCATGCATAAAACTTAAGGCCAAATGTATCAAAGTCCTCAACATAAATCCAGCCACACTGAACCTCCTAGAAGAGAAAGTGGGAGGTACCCTTGAACGAATTGATACAGGAGACCGCTTCTTGAACATAACACCAGTAGCACAGACACTGAGATCGACAATTAATAAATGGAACCTTCTGAAACTGAGAAGAGTCTGTAAGGCAAAGGACACAGTCAACAAGACAAAAAGGCAGTCCACAGAATGGGAAAAGATATTCACTAACCCTACATCTGACAGAGGGTTCATCTCCAAAATTTACAAAGAACTCAAGAAGCAATCCTCCAAAACACCAAATGATCCAATTAAAAAGTGGGGTACAGAACTAAATAGAGAATTCCCAATAGAGGAGTCTAAAATGTCTGAGAGACACTTAAGAAAGTGCTCAACATTCTTAGTTATTAGGAAAATGCAAATCAAAACAACTCTGAGATGCCATCTCACTCCTGTCATTATGGCTAGAATCAAAAACACCAAAGACAGTTTATGTTTGAGAGGATGTGGAGAGAGGGGAACACTCCTCCACTGCTGGTGGGAGTGCCAACTCGTACAGCCACTTTGCAAATCAGTATGGAGCTTCCTCAGGAAAATGGGAATCAGTCAACCACAAGACCCAGCAATTCCACTCTTAGGCATATACCCAAAAGATGCTCATTTATACAATAAGGATATCTGTTCCACTATGTTCTTAGCAGCATTATTTGTAATAGTCAGAACCTGGAAGCAACCTAGATGCCCCTCAACTGAAGAGTGGATAGAGAAAATGTGGTACATTTGCACAATGGAGTACTACTCAGTGGAAAAAAAACCAATGGAATCTTGAAATTTGCAGGCAAATGGATGGCACTAGAAGAAACCATCCTGCATGAGGTAACCCAATCACAAAAGAACAAACATGGTGTGTACTCACTCATATGTGGTTTTTAGACATGAAGCAGGGGAGTGCCAGGCTACAATCCCACCACCAGAGAGTCTGGGAAACAGGGAGGACCCTAAGAGAGATATGCACGGTACCCAGAGAAGGGGAATGGGACAGGATCTCCTGAGTGGACTGGGAGCATAGGGGGGAGCTGGGGAAAAGTGAGGGGGAGAAGAGAAGGGGAGAGGAGGACATAGGGGAGGAGGAAGGTTGAGTCGAGGAAAGAATAGAGGAGAGCGTGATGAGAGATACCATAATAGAGAGAGCCATTATAGGTTTGAGGAGAGATACAGCACTAGTGAGGTTTCCAGAGATCTACAAGGATGACACCAACTGGCAATCTAAGCAATAGTGGAAAGGCTACCTTAAATGCCCTTCCCCGATAATGAGATTGATGACTACCTTATATGTCATCCTAGAGCCTTCATCCAGTGGCTGATGGAAGCAGAGGCAGACACCCACAGCTAAACACTGAACTGAAATCCTGGAAACCAGTTGCAAGGAGGGAGGAGTGATGAGCAAAGGGGTCAAGACCAGGCTGGTGAAACCCACAGAGGCAGCTGACCTGAACAAGGGGGAAACTCATGGACCCCAGACTGTTGACTGAGAGGCCAGCATGGGACTGATCCAGACCCCCTAAATTTGGGTGTCAGTTAGGAGGCCTCAGCAATCTTTGGGGCCTCAGGTACTAGATCAGTATTTATCCGTGGCATTCGAATGGACTTTGGGAGCCATTCCACATGGAGGGATGCTCTCTCAGCCTGGACACATAGGGGAGGACCTAGGCCCTGCCGCAGATGATATGACAGACTTTGGAGATCCCCCATGAAGGGTCTCACCCTCTCTGGAGAGTGGAGTGGGGATTGGGTGGGAGGTTGGGAGGGCTGGTGGAGGCAGGGGAGGAGGGGAGGGAGAGGGAACTGGGATTGACATGTGAAGCAAACTTGTTTCTAATAAAAAACATTAATATTGAAAGTCTCATAGCATTATCTCTATATATTTATATAATTATAAATAAATATTCTGATGTTCAATTTAAAAAATACATAAAAATAAGATATGGAATGTAGGGGCAGGAATCTCAAAGCTACAGGCAGCTACATCAAGAATGATGCTGGGCACAAATAGCACAAAATATCTTGGGGTAACTCTAGCCAAGCAAGAGAAAGGCCTGTATAACAAGAACTTCAAGTCTTTAAAGAAAGAAATTAAAGAAAATATCAGAAAATGGAAAGATCTCCCATGCTCTTGGATAGGTGGGATCAACATAGTAAAAATGGTAATCCTATCAAAAGTAATCTACAGATTCAATGCAATCCCCATCACATAATACCAGCACAATTCTTCATGGACCTTGAAAGAACAATACTCAACTCTATGTGGAAAAACAAACAAACAAAAAACCTTAGGATAGCCAAAAGTGTCCTGTACAATAAAGGATCATTTGGGGGCATCACCATCCCTGACTTCAAACTCTATTATAGAGCTACAGTAATGAAAACAGCTTGGTATTGGCATAAAAACCGACAGGTGGACCAATGGAATCGAATTGAAGACTCTGATATCAACCCACACACCTCTCAGCACCTAATTTTTGACAAAGAAGCTAAAAACATAAAATAAAAAAGAAAACATATTCAACAAATGGTGCTGGTATAAAACTGGCTGTCAACATGTAGAAGAATTAAAATAGATCCATATCTATTGCCATGCACAACACTCAAGTCAAAATAGATCAAAGACCTCAGTATAAATCCAGCCACACTGAACCTCACAGAAGAGAAAGTGGGAAATACACTTGAACACATAGGCACAGGAGACCACTTCCTGAACACAGCACCAGTAGCACAGACACTGAGAACAACAATTAATAAAGGGAACCTGAAACTGAGAAGCTTCTGTAAAGCAAAGAACATGGTCAACAAGACAAAACAGCTTGGGAAAAGAATGGGAAAAGATCTTTGCCAACCCCACATCTGACAGAGGGCTGATCTCCAAAATATACAAAGAACTCAAGAAACTAGACATCAAACTGCCAAATAATCCAATTAAAACAGAGAATTCTCAACAGAAGAAACTAAACACTTACGGAAATGCTCAACATTCTTAGTCATCAGGGAAATGCAAATCAAAACCACTCTAAGATTCCATCTTAAACTGATCTGAATGGCTAAGATCAAAAACACCAACGACAGCTTATGCTGGAGAGGATATGGAGGAAGGGGAACACTCCTCTATTGCTGGTGGGAGTGCAAACTTGTACAGCCACTGTGGAAATCAGTTTGATGATTTCTCAGAAAATTAGGGATCAACCTACCTCAAGACCCTGTGATACCACTGTTGGGCATACACCCAAAGGAGGCACATTCATACCACAAGGACATTTGCTCAACTATGTTCACAGCAACATTAGTCATAATAGCCAGATCTTGGAAACAATCTAGATGCTCCTCAATGGAAGAATGGATAAAGAAAATGTGATACAATACACAATGGGGTACTACTCAGCGGTAAGAAACAATGACATCCTAAAATTTGCAGGCAAATGGACAGAACTAGAAAAATCCACCCTGAGTGAGGTAACCAAACATCAGAAAGACAAATATAGCATTATTCATAAGTGGATACCAGATATAAAGCAAAAGATACCCAGCCTACAATCCACAACCCCAGAGAAGCTAGAACCCTCTTCCAGAATCATATGGAAGCAGATGCAGAAATTCACAACTAACCAATGGGCCAACCTCCTGGAGTACAATTGAAGTGAGGGAGGAGCAAAAATATGAACAAAGGAGCCAAAACCGTGATAGGAAAACCCACAGAATCAGCTGACTCGAGGTAGTGAGAGATCAGTGACTCATGTCTGACATATGGAGAACCTGCATAAGACCAAACTAGACTCTCTTCATATGAGTGACAATGGTGCGGCTGGAACAATATATGAGGCCACTGGCAGTGGGAACAAGACCTAACTCTAATGCACAGACTGACTCAGTGGAGCCCATTCTATATGGAGAGATACCTTGCCCAGCCAGGACACAGGGGTGTGGGGGGTGGAGAGGGTGCCTTGGTCCTGCCTCAACGAGATGATGGGACAGACTTAGTAGACTTCCTAGGGGAGGCCTTACCCTCTAGAGTGAGGAGCAGATGGGAGGTAGGGAGGGTTTAGTGAGGGGAGCAGAAGGAGAGAAGGGAGGGGGAACTAGGATTGGAATGTAAAAAATAAATTAATAATAAAAAAGAATATGGGCTGGGTCATATATAGCGTGCTGCCCCACCAAGGGTTAGAGCTGGAACAGGGTTAGGTGCAGGGTTAAATTCAGGGCTAGAACTAGGGCCAGGGCTAGGCTAAGTTTAGGGTTAGGGCTATTATTAGTGTTAAGGTAGGGTTACAGCTATTCTAGGGTTTGCATTAGGGTTAGGGTTCAGGTTAGGATTAATGTCAGGGCTCAAAGTGAGTCTTAGGTTAATGCTAAGAATAGGCTAGAAAAGTTAGGTTTAGGATTAGAGTCACAGCTCGTCTACGGTTAGTATGGGGATAGCTATGGTTCGGCCTGATGCTAGGGCCAGGGTTGGGGTTAGGATTAGGAGTAGATTTCATTCAAAGCCTAAGTTTCAGGGTTAGGGTTAGGGTCAGGGTTAGGGTTAGGGTTAGGGTCAGGGTTAGGGTTAGGGTTAGGGTTAGGGTTAGGTTAGGGTTAGGGTTAGGGTTAGGGTTAGGGTTAGGGTTAGGGACAGTGTTAAGTCATGTTAGTATCAGGGATAGGGCAAGGTTGGGTTAGGGTTATACTAGGGTTATGGCTAGTATTATGATTTGTGCTAGGGGCATTATTAGGCTTTGAGACATGGCTAGGGTTACAGTATTGGTTATGATTATGGTTAGGGGCTTGCCATTGTCAAGGATAGGGCAAAATTGGGTTAGAGTTAAGTTGTAGATATGGGTCAGGCGAGATGAGGGACAGAACTGTGTGTTCTGTTTCTTCCTTGCTAATTTTTTTTTAATGGTCTCCCTTCAGACCAGGCCTGGATCTCACTGTGTGGTTCAGATGTCTAAATCACCACGTTCAGTTCTCTGCAGAGCTGGGGAAATCAAACTTAGAGCGTTGTGCTGCGGGGCCAGCACTCTGCCCCTGGGTCAGGCCCTCAGCCTTCACGCTCTTAATCCTTTCTCTCTTTATGATATTTATCTTATTTTAAAAATTTTAAAATTTGTTTTAATTCCTCCTCCCACTGTTTCCTTCTCCAGTTGGGAGTTTTGTTCTTTTGTATTCACTCGTTCTAACTCTCCATTAGTGAACGCTTTTTATCGTCTGGGGGCTGCTTTGGCCCAGCTCTGCCCTGGGAAGGGAATGCTATTCTCATAACCTATACCTTTACTTTCTGTCTGTAATTTCTTCTGAGTGACTTAAAAACAGGCAGTGCCCTGGAAGTCGGGGAGCTGGTGGGACGTGCTGTCTGAGTGTCAGTGGCTGCGGCAGTTTGAATGTAATGGGCCTCCATAATCTCATAGGGAGTGGCACTGTTGGGAGGTGTGGTTTGTTGGAGTGGGTGTGGCTTTGTTAGAGGAAGTGTGTCACCGTGGGGGGCGGGCTTTGTGGTTCCCTATGCTCAGGATACTACACTCAGTCAACTTCCTGTTGCCTGCAAGATGCAGGACTCTCGGCTAACTCTCCAGTATCATGTCTTCCTCCTGTGCGCTGCCATGCTCCCTGCCCCGGTGACAAGGGACTGAACCTCTGAAACTGTAAGCGAGCCACCCCAATTAAATGTTTTCTTTATAGGAGTTGTTGTAGTCATGGTGTCTTTTCACATCGATAGAAACCCTAACTAAGACAGTGGCTGTCAGGTAACTTCAGGACTTGGTGACATTTCCTATGAGTGTTGTGAGGAAACTTCTGGACGTTTGCTGACCCACAGCCTGGGTTATCCTGTAAGAGAATCTGCCGGGGGCTGAGGTGTACAGTGTCACTGACCCCATTTCAAATACAATGAGTCTCGAGGACCTGGTGGTATAGCCACAACCAACCCCTCCCACCTCCATGCGGGTGGGTAGGCGGGGTCACACATGGGACCCGGAGGAGACTGCTTTCACCGTTTCCGTATGGTTTACAGAGGGGACCCCCGGGGAAGGTGCTATCACTGTTTCTGTTTACTGCCCAAGAAGGCAGACAGAGGTGTTAGCCAGGGACACGTTTGGTTGAGCAATGACATTTCCTGACACAAACGTCGTTTGCTTTCCAGAACTGTACAGTAACTGGTTTTTCTAGATCCTTCACTCCCAGTGTTATTGCTCTCAACTATGGCTGACCTTGAGAGCTCACCTGACATTTTTAAACTCATGGTTCCCTGGTTACTCCTAGCAATAGCTAACCGTGTGCCCCCAAAGGGAACTCCTCATTCCCTTTCCCACCCTATGGCTACTGCAGCCTGTAAGCAGACGGTGAGTTTTCTTGTTTATTGAACCAAAGATCTCTCTCTGCAGACCCCTGCCCCCACCCGCCAAATCAAACCGTGCTGCCATACAGCCCTTGTTTCCTTTTCGAAGACTTTATAAGAGACAGGGAGTGGTGTGACCAGCAGCCCGAGCCTTTCCTGGCTCAGCTGTGAGAGACCTAGCTTTCTTGTAAGGTGTGGAGGTCTTGCTGTCTGGTCTTAATACAGCCACAGGCTGAAGGCCAGAGAGGGCTCTGTGGGGTGGATTCCCACCTTTGTACTGTACAGGGGTCAGAGACATGCAGGTCAGTTTCCTTGGGTTCCAGGGTTCCAGTGTGGGCAGAAAGGGCATTCCCAGCTGCCCAAGAGCTACGTTGCTGCCTTTGCCATCTCTCCTGAGACAAATTCTTCCCACCGTTATCCTACTGCAGGCACAGGGTCCCAATTGATCCCATTTACCCCTGAGCATCTGGTGAGGGCTAATCTCCAAAGCCAGGAACCTTAGGCCTCCTCCTTAGAGGTGCCAAGTCGGCAGCTAAAGTGCCCAAGGCTACACAGGGCAGGAGGTCAGGCCTGGCCTCAAGTCTGGGTCTAGCCCCCTTTGACCCCGTAGAGCTCTGTGTGTATGTGTGAATGGGATTTTACGTTTACAGGGGACTCCTTGCTCAGGTCCTGCCAAGGTTCATACCTCATTGATGAAGTCTCCGATGTCACCTGGGTGGGGCACCACAGGCCTGACCGGGTACTGGGGCTCGGCACCTACTGGCCGTTCATCCACTCGACGCACACCAGGAGCCTTGCTCAACACATGCTCCATGGCTTCCGGCTGTTGTAGCTGGCTGAGGTCGTAGTCCTGGGGATGGAGGCCAAGTGGGTCAGGGGAACCGGAGAATCCCGAGCACATCCCTGTGCTCCGAGGGTGCCTCTGTATCAGTCTCCAGGCACACTGTAACTGTCCTACTCCATCCCCCCAGGCCTGTCCGGTCCACACTCTCCACCACCGTTTTTCCGCCTGACCTCCAGGTAGCCATGGGGTCTATGTCTGCTAGCTAGCTGCCTTACCAAAGCCTGGGGCTCCCTCCCAGCAAGCGACCCTCCCCGCCTACAGCTCAGCAGCCCTGGACTGCCACCTTGCACTGGTAGGAAAGGGCTGGGTCCTCCTTGCCGCTACTAGATGGCTCTGTGTAGCCCACCCACCCACGTCAGAGAGCCACAACCCCCTCCCCGAATGTCCAGGAGACTCTGTCCTGTTTCCTCCAGGACACAGAACAGTAATGGGTGGGGGCTGGGGGGCTGGAGAGGGAGGAGCATGGGAGGAGGACAGGTCTGATGAGAAGATGTAGACGGAGCCTTGCATGGCCGGTCCAGGCCGGAGCACGCACGGGAGAGGCTGCAGCCTGTGCCCGGGATCTGTGCCTCTGCAAAGTAGTGCACGATACCTTCCCGTAAGAAAGAGGACCAGGACGTGTAAGGGAAAAGCCCAGAGTGCTGAGCCCTGCTGAGCCCCTGGGATGTGGCAGGGAGGCTGAGCCCTGGGGGCTCACCTGGTCCTCCTCGCCACCGCCTTCCTCGTCGTACTTTAGGATGTTGTCGCGCACGTCGTCCTCGGGGTCGATGAGCAGCTGCTTTGTGTGACGCTCCTTCTCCCTCCGCTTCATCCACACCACGAACAGCAGGACCATGGCTGGGAGAGGAGGGGGCCGCACTGTGAGCAGCGCATGCACGCACGGGCATACGTCTGTGCGCACGCGTGCACGGGTGTGGACGCGTGTGCATGCACGGCCTTTTGTGCCTGCAAACGTGCATGCCTGGGCATAGCGTGAACGTACGATGGTTGGGTGCGTGTGCATTCTGTGTTCATCTACATAAGCAGATAGATCTGTGCACAGCTATGCCCTGTCCTTACAGCACACAGTGGGGTTACAGGTATGTGCACATCTATACCCGTCCTTCTGCCACACAGTGGGGTTACAGTGTGGCATGTGCACAGCTATGCCCTGTCCTTACACCACACAGTGGGGTTACAGTGTGGCATGTGCACAGCTATGCCTGTCCTTACACCACACAGTGGGGTTGCAGGCATGTGCACAGCTATGCCCTGTCCTTACACCACACAGTGGGGTTGCAGGCATGTGCACAGCTATACCTGTCCTTACACCACACAGTGGGGTTACAGGTATGTGCACAGCTATGCCCTGTCCTTACACCACACAGTGGGGTTGCAGGCATGTGCACAGCTATGCCCAGGCATTCTAGGAATCTGGACTCAAGCCCTTATGCTTTTGCAGTAATTGCTCTTACTACTGGATCATCTTTCCACCCCCTGCCATGCAATTCGTTTTGTGGGTGTTTTATCTGCGATTGATCTCACATACAGATGTGGAACCCAAGGGTGCAGATGGCCCACTGGATTCATTTCCTCCTTCGTGGAGGCGGCTGACTGAGCACAGATGTCACTACGAGGGACCATTATTCTTCAGAGCTATGGGAAGGTGAGGCTTTGTGTCCAGAAGGCAAAGGGAAGGGTTTCAGGGTACTATGTCTAGGCAGGAGCCATGGCACAGTGGTGCCCCATGGCAGAACGAGACTGGGAGGAGGGAACCCAGAAAGAGCCTCCAGCAGGTAAGCCAGGGGTGAGCAGAAGCATCTCCTGCACCTCCAGAGGCCCCGGGCCACTCCTGCGGAACACACTGGGATAAGGGGTAGCTTATCCAGGAAGGAAGGCTGTCTGGGGAGCAATAAGGACTCGGGTGCATCGTGGGAAATTATGTCCCCTCCCTGTCACATGTGGGTGTGCTGGCTTTGCCACTGGCCTTGGCTCCTTGTGCTGTGGCACTCTGCTTATCTCTGGACCCCTGGGAGTCTCAGCTTTTGCATGCTCCTCCCTGCGGGGCCTTTGCTCCTGTCTGGCTTCTGAGGGCAGGGCTCCTGTGAACACACAGGGGAAAGGGACACCCGGACCCTCACGAAGGTCTGCAGATGTGCTTCTGTCAGCCTCCTGTCACCTCCCCGCTGTCACACATTCGAGGAGGTACCAGGCAAGCTCTCCAGGGTGTGGGGTGGGGAGGGGGAGCGCCAACAGGAACCCCATGCAGAGGGACGCAGGGGTGGCCACCTTGACCAAGTGGTTTGATTGAGTGCTGTGATAAGAAAGATGGCAGCTACCAGGCGGTGGTGGCGCACGCCTTTAATCCCAGCACCCGGGAGGCAGAGGCAGGCGGATCTCTGTGAGTTTGAGGCCGGGCTGGACCCCCGACAGCCTCCAAAACAATACAGAGAAACCCTGTCTCGTAAAACCAAAAAAAAAAAAAAAAAAAAAAAAAAAAAAAAGAAAGAAAGAAAGAAAGAAAGAAAGAAAGATGGCAGCTAGCTCAGAGGCCAGAACCTTGCGAGCAACAGGCAGTATTTCTTTCAAACATAGGGCCAGGGGACTTCTTGATGTGGACAGGGAACTGGAGACAGCAGGGGCGGGGGAGCCTCCTACCTCTGAGAATTTAAGCAGAAACCAGAAGCCTCGAGCTACTCTCCACCAGATCAGGTGGCCAGAGAGCCAGCTGTACAGCCGGTATCTCAGATAGGTCACCGGAGGAGGCGTGTGGAGGGAGCTTGGGGGAGAAGGGATGTGCCCCTCCATGCCTAACTCTCTGAGAGGGCGACAAGGCTGTCTGTACTCGGATCCCTGGCTTAGTACACTCAAGAGGCTGGAGAGGGAGGGGCCCAGGCTCCTTCTCTGGATGCTAGGTCTGCTCTCACATGGGTCCTGCCTACTGTTGTGTTCTCCGTCCCTGTCTCTTGTGTCTTCAGAGGAGAGGGCAGGCCTCAACCTTGCCCAAGAGCCACCTCCTCCACAGTAGGGCTATTTCTGATCCCACATAAAGAAGATACCCCACTGACTGTCTGATCGAAGGGCTTGGCCAGATGTAGTTAGAGGAAGCCCTGGTCTTGGGTGTGGCTCGTTCTCATCCAAGTGTTGGACCTGATGCCTGATCCTTAGGCCTTTCCTGTGCATGGTGGAGGCCCTTTAGCTCAGTGTAATTAGGAGAGGGGCTGTTGACCCTCTGCCACGACTGCTATGTGGTCTCTGGGCTACTGTGGACCAGGGCAACTGTCCAGGTGGGGGATGGGTACATCAGCATCGTTTCTAAGCATCCTTCTTTTTCCCTATTGCCCTTAATTCTGAGCAGGGAGTCTCACGGCTCTTGGAAATGCAAGAAGCCACTGGAGCATGTGACACCACCAGAGCCAATGAGCATACTCCATTCCCAGATAGAGACTGGTCCTGAGACACACGTAGGTGCTGGGGGCTTGGGTGGGATGTTGACAGACTGACAGACGGGAACTGTCATTCCCTCAGTGTTTACTACTGGAGAGTGACCTGCACATATTGGGGACCGGGAGAAGGTCAGTCTGGGGGCCCAGGGGCCCTTGGGAAGCAGAGTCCGATGATGACCAGACCTGGGTAGTGACAAGGTGGGAGATCTTCCTTTCTTATCCCGTATGGGACTGGTTTGGTAGGACCTCTGGGAGGTTCCCAGTAGACGGGAAGCTGCTGAAGGAAGTGGCCGCGGAGCTAGGGTCTCACTCCCACATGGCTGTCTGTGGGACACGGGACGCCTGTACCCGTGAAGCCCATACTCACTCAGCAGGATCACGATGCAAATGAGGATAGCCACAATGGCGCCCGTGCCCAGGCCAGCTGCAGCCACTGCGCCTATGGCGGTGCAGTCACCATTCTCATCACACGGGCACACCTTGACTTTTATGATGGACGTGTTGGACAGGGGAGGGTTGCCGGAGTCTGTGACGATGATGGGGACATCGTACACCCCTGCCTCCAGGTACAGAATGCGCAAACTCAGCTGGGCGTAGTCACCTGGAATGAGGAACGGCAACGTTGGGCCAGTGGTCAGTTCTCCTTCCCAAGGAAGACTTCCACAGGTAGCCACTGAGTCTGACAGCGCGAAAATCTCTCCCTCACACACATGTTCATGCACATAGATCATGCACACATATGTACACAGAGCATGCGCACACTCTCACAAGCGCACACCTGTGTATGCACACACATCATGCACACATATTTACTCTCCCACTCATGTACACGCGCAAACACACACACACCAAACTATTAAGTTAAGCACACTGAGTTGGGGAGATGGTTCCATTGGTGAAGATCTTGCCGCACAAGCACAAGGGTCTGAGTTTTTGGCCCCCAGGACTCATGTAGAAAACCTGGAACAGAGAGTGCATACTTAATAGTCCCGGAGCTGGCCGGGCGTTGGTGGCACACACCTTTAATTCTAGCTCTAGGGAGACAGAGGCAGGTGGATCTCTGTGAGTTCGAGGCCAGCCTGGTCTACAGAGCGAGTTCCAGGACAGCTTCCAAAACAATACAGAGAAATCCTGTCTCTAAAAACCAAAAAAAAAAAAAAAAAAAAAAAAGTCCCGAGCTGCCCACAGAAGCAGGCAGAATTTTGGAGCTTGCTGGCCAGCCAGAGGGGACCTGCCTGAACCATCAAGGTGGACAGCTCTCAAGGCACCACAGTGGAGTTTGCCTGTGACCTCCTGTGTACACACACATACATGCATCTGCACATGTGTACCTGCACACACACACACTGACACACAAGGCCAAATCACTGACCATATCAAGAGAGAGAGTCAGCATGAAAGAAGAAGAGATGATTTCCTGGATGTATAGAGTTTTATGAAATTGATTAGGGGGGAAACAAACCCTCCCAAAGAGAAAAGGCAAAGGTGTTAAGCAGGAACCCAAACCTCTATGTGTGTGAATGCTCCCCCCCACCCGGGGAGCCCAGAGACGGAAGAGAGCAGTGGCTTTGCGGCTTTGCTTCCTGAAGAAACGCCCTGGTCACGTCGGCAAGGGCGTGACCCGTCGGTAGTTTTGCTGGTGGAAGCATAAATGGGCGCTGTATCTCTAGGAAATTGTAATGATCCTAAGGCTGGTCACACCTGAGAATAAGGTCACCCTGTCATCCTATCTCCTAAGAGGATGCAGCCTTCAGGGGCCAGCCAACCCACAGTGGCTGCCAGCATGGTCCAAGCTAGGCCCTTTCTAGAACATCAAGGCACTAGGAGCAAATGAATGGCTTTGTGGTGGAGACATGGGGTAAACACGGCCATATGCCCCAGCCTTGTGTGAACTGTCTGGGAGGGCTAGGGCCGTCTCTCGTCTATGGGGCACACTGGTCTTTGGTGATGGATCCTGGACTACATCCTAGATCCCGGCTCTACCTGTCCGGGGCTCTGCTCGGGGTGGGCTCACCGTTTAGACGGGTGATGGTCCAATTTTTCCTCACTGTGGTGGGGATGAAGGGCAACTCGAAGACATAGGGGCCGATGTTGGGGTCCATGTCAGCGTCGGCGGCGGTGATGTTGATGGCGTTGAGGCCTGGCCGCTCGCAGATCTGTGCCTCCTTGGGCAGCAGCTGTGGTGCGTTGTCGTTGATGTCAATGAGGTAGATCTGCAGGGTCCCAGTGCCGCTGGCTGGGGGGATCCCTGCAGGACAGATAGGGGGTGAACACACAGGGCCCTACGTAGGGATGGCACACAGCCACATGCTGGCTAGAGTCCATTTGCCATCTCGTACTCTGCTGTAGGGAAGGACAGGATACTCTTTCCTCCTCAGGGGCTCTCTGTGCGGACAACTAAAAAAAACTTTTCTTTGAGAATTTTTTTTGTTTGTTTTATGTGTTTGCTTTCTGCCTGCACGTGTCTCTGCACCGCAATTGCGTAATGCTCACAGAAGCCTAAGAGGAACTGGAGTTACAGGTGGTTGTGAGCAGCCATGTGGGTGCTGGGAATTGAACCTGGGTCCTCTGGAAGAGCTGTCAGCCTCTCTTAATTCTTGAGCCATCTCTCTGGTGCCCGTACAGCCAACTTTGTGGACCACGAGGACCGTGGGGCCTGGGGGGAGCCAGTCGGGTTAGGGTTAGAGTTTCTCTGGCTACCACTTGCCATGGGACCAGCTTTGAGGTCACAGCAGTGTTTGCTCTTGAAGCTCCAGCTTCCCAGTTCTAAGAACCCAGTACTGCATTCCTGCCCCGGGGCCTTTGCCCATGCCCACCAGGGTCATACTGCCCCGGGGCCTTTGCCCATGCCCACCAGGGTCATACTGCCCCGGGGCCTTTGCCCATGCCCACCAGGGTCTTACTGCCCCGGGGCCTTTGCCCATGCCCACCAGGGTCTTACTGCCCCGGGGCCTTTGCCCATGCCCACCAGGGTCATACTGCCCCGGGGCCTTTGCCCATGCTCACCAGGGTCATACTGCCCTGGGGCCTTTGCCCATGCCCACCAGGGTCTTACTGCCCTGGGGCCTTTGCCCATGTTCTTCCCAGCAGAGGAAGGTTCCTCTCTTCCCCTCCTTCTTCCATGGCTTTTCCCACCACCTTTATTTCCTCCCAGCTTCTCTCGCTACTAAAATGGCCCTGTCAGCTTGCCCCACCCCAATCTCTGTGGGGGCAGAGACTGTTGTGTTTACCACTGTCCACTGGGGGGTTATATTTCCAACTAAGATGTGATCCTAAGTTCTGGTCTTCACTCTGAGTGGAGGCCTGGTGTGTGGCGCTTCCTCGAAGTCCCCAGGAGAGCTTGGGCACGCACGGCACTCTTCCTGGTTCTCCTTCTGTTTGCCAGGCTGTGGTGACGATGCCGGGGGTGGGGGGAGGGAGGGGGGAGCGTCCATTCTTGACCACGCCGTGGTGCAGCATGGCCACGGAGTGAGTGGCGTGGGCATGGCTGTCAAATCTTACCCTGTCTAGCAGCCTTCAGATTTCTCCACCTAAGTTGCTGGTGTGGCTTTGGACGTGTTCTGTAACCCAGGCTGACCTGGAGATTGTGATCCCCCTGCCTCAGGCTCTTGAGTAACTGGGATTACAGGTATGCGTCACCAGACCCCGGGTGAACGTCTCCCCTCCTCTCCCCTCCCCTACCCCTTTGCGGTGCAGAGCCTCACACATGCCAGGCAAGTGGTCTATCACTGAGCTATATACCTCCAGCCCTAGCACTCCTTAATGTGAGAGAAAACCCCTTTCGGTCTTGTTGGAGTTACTGCTATCTCATCAGAAGCCACCTCCACTGGGAAACAGTCTCTGCCAGGCAGGGGCTTGGTTTCTTCTACTCTCTGATAGGCACCTGGCCCTCAATGAGTTCTCCCAGGCAAGGCTTCTGAGTCTGTGCAGATGCTTGGCCTTCGATGGGCTCTCAGTGAGTGAGATGGCGGCGGTGGTCAGAGCCATGTGGAACACTGACCTCTGGCTCACTCACAGGCCTGTCGTCACCCATGAGGGAATGAGGTTTTCAAGAGATAGGAGCCGGGTGTTGGTGGCGCACGCCTTTAATCCCAGCACTCGGGAGGCAGAAGCAGTTCGAGGCCAGCCTGGTCTACAGAGCAAGTTCCAGGACAGCCTCCAAAGCAATACAGAGAAACCCTGTCTTGGAAAACCGAGAGAGAGAGAGAGAGAGAGAGAGAGAGAGAGAGAGAGAGAGAGAGAGAGAGAGAGAGAGAGAGAGAGAGAGAGAGAGAGAGAGAGAGAGAGAGAGAGAGAGAGAGAGAGAGAGAGAGAGAGAGAGAGAGAGAGAGAGAGAGAGAGAGAGAGAGAGAGAGAGAGAGAGAGAGAGAGAGAGAGGAGGGTTCTCCCATTCTGCTAAGGAGAACGTGGAGGCCCAGAGAGGCCAGGGCTCTTCCCAGGAGCAACACTGTTTTATACACTGTAAAGTTGTATCACTCTGAACGGTTTAATAAAAAGCTGAATGGCCAATAGCTAGGCAGAATTTCTTTGCAGAGAGGATGCTGGGAAGAAGAAGGCAGAGACCCAGGGAGATGTGGAGCCGGCAGGAGAGGTAGTATGGAGACAAGGCAATAAAGTCACGAGGAGGAAAGTAACTGAACAGAAACTGGGTTGATTTAAGTTGTAAGACCTAGTTAGAGACAAGCCTAAGCTAAGGGTGAGCTTTTATAATTAACATAGGTCTCCATGCCATTTGAGAGCTGGTCGCCCCTCCAAAAAAATCCATCAACAGATGGCATCCAATATGGGAGCTTAAATATCCAAACGTAGGGTCTGAGAGAGCTGAGGAAAGTTCTGGAGAAGGAGCCGGAGGTGGCTTTCTAGACCTGCAGTGTCTCAGGAGGGCCAGTGCTCAGTGTCCAGGGGTTCTGTTACCTGCAGGCTGGACCCAGCTGCCAGGGTCATGTGCCAATGCTGTGTTCTCCGCTAAGCTGTGCCTACAACCGACATAGCAGTTTAAGATTTGTCTCTTGTGATCCGACACAATGCCCACATTCATTCCCAAGAGGTGGAGTGGGTGGTTTTTGGTCATTCGGTGGGTTAAGGATATTTGTCATCACTTAGGGGTCATCCCTTGGTTACAAATTATTACTGGTCATAGCCGGGGGGGGGGGAGGAACAAAGGATGTTAGATTTAGGGATCTCTTTCTGAAGGGAAAAAGGGGGATATAGTATAGAAATGATGGGATAAAGGGGTAGATTGTCGAATCTACTTTTAAACAACCACTAATCTCGGATATTTTACATTGGTATGGATTTTGTATATTGATAAAAATTAAGATTATTTTTGTTATACCGTATGCATGTTTCTACTCTTATTTAAGATTTTGTACTTTATGCAGCTCGTTTTTTAAGGCTATGCAAAGCTTTTAGTCTTTGAGATATATTTAGGATATTAAATAAACACAGGTTAGTAGCTAGTCCACTGTAACAAACTATAGTAATGTTAAGAATGTTTTCAAGGTCGAACAGAGATATATTTTGAATAGATAGATGGTTTTTGAACACTTCAAAGACCTACAGAATATGACACTTAGACTGTTTTAGTAATGTGAGACTTTTCGTAACAGTGAGACATGTCTGCTCCTGGCAATACCAAAAAGATGATGGGCATCAAAGAACCTCCACAAGTTGTTTGTTTCCTTTGTGGCAAAAGTTAGTCATTGGGCAAGAAACTGCCCTTGCCTTGACTGACTGCTGACAGTATACCATCAAAATTGGCTAACGAGGACACAAAGAAAGTGTCTGCCAAACTTTGCCAAGACAGGGTAGGATAGCCCTTCAAAATTCCTGTTTCACAGAGAAGTCTGCCAGATATTCTAGGCCTGTAGGTCAAAAATGGATGCCCCAATGTTACAGAGGAACCTTGGGTGACTGTCCAGGAAGCCATCTTTCTGTCATTTCTCTTAGTTTTGGAAGTTGCCTGTTCTGTGTTTCCTGTTATACCCTTCTTGGGTCTTTGATGGCGTGGAAGACTAGATAGTTATAGTTACAGTTTTCCTTAGTATTGATAGAAAGTAAATTAGGTACAAACTTTTCATTTGTTAACATTAATACCTTTCCTTTCTATTTAAGGCAATACCTGATAACTGTTGTTATTATAGATAGTTTCACTATGTTAGAGTTAAAACCTTTCCTTTTTATTTGGACAAAAGGAGGAAACATTGTGGAATAATATTTTTGTACACTGTGAAGCTGTGCCACTCTGACTGGTTTAATAAAAAGCTGAACGACCAATAACTAGGCAGGATTTCTGGGCAGAGAGGACTCTGGGAGGAAGATGGAGATGCCAGGAGACACAGAGCAATCAGAATGGGCAATATGAATGAGGTAATAAAGCCACAAGGTAGAAAAATTAATAGAAATGGGTTAATTTAAGTTATTAGAGCTAGTTAGGAGCAAGCCCAAGCTAAGGCCAAGCTTTCATAATTAATAACAAGCCTCCGTGTTGTTGTTTGTGAGCTGGCGGCCCAGAGAAAAATCCATCTACAAGAACCTGCACTGATTTCCTCATCATGACCCATCATCCTTCCTGCTCCATTCCTCATGCTCTTTCTCTGTGCTGCCTGCCCAGCACCTGCCCAGTACCTGCTCATGCCCAACACCTGCCCATGGCCAACACCTGCCAAACACCTGCCCATGCCCAACACCTGCCCAACACTTGCCCAACACCTGAGCAGCACCTGCTCATGCCCAACACCTGCCCATGGCCAACACCTGCCCAGCACCTGCCCATGCCCAACACCTGCCCATGCCCAACACCTGCCCAGCACCTGCCCAGCACCTGCCCATGCCGAACACCTGCCCATGCCCATCACCTGCCCATCACCTGCCCAACACCTGCCCATCACCTGCCCAACACCTGCCCATGCCCAACACCTGCCCAACACCTGCCCAGCACCTGCCCATGGCCAACACCTGCCAAGCACCTGCCCATGGCCAACACCTGCCCATCACCTGCCCAACACCTGCCCAGCACCTGCCCATGCCCAACACCTGCCAAGCACCTGCCCATGCCCAACACCTGCCCAGCATCTGCCCAGCACCTGCCCAACACCTGTCCAGCATCTGCCCAGCACCTGGCCAGTGCCTGACAAATGCCTGCCAAGCATCTGCCCAGCACCTGCCCAGTGCCTTCCCAGAGTCTGCCCAGCGCCTACCCAAAACCTGCCCAGTGCCTGCCCAGAGCCCTCCCTTTCTCCCAGGGCTATCAGGCCTTCCCTGACTCAGAGTCCCAGGGTTAGGGTGGACACAGGCCTTCCTGCCTTTCCTAGCTAGGGTGGCAGCTAACAGTGTTGGAGAATGGCAGATCTGTTGTCACCACCCAGTTATATGTGGGGAAGCTGAGAAGCCAGGGCAGTCACCTGCCACTACATTTCCTGGTTCCTGACTACCCTGGACGCATGAGTGTATGATGGGCAGTGGGGACACTGTGTGGGAGCATGGTCAAAGGAGTAAGCGGGTTTTTAGGTGAGTAAGTTTGGATGATAGGAGGGGGCAGGATGGGAGCAGTGTTGTGCGACAAAGCCGCAAGTTCATGGCTGCCTGCAGAGACTTCCCTCTGGGTACCACTGGTCCCCCTCGCCAGCACCTGCACCCCCCCCACAACCCCAGGACATGGGACACAGCTATGACAGTGCCTTCCTGGAGTGGGACACACCATTGTCAGCAGCCAGGAAGGTGGCCTCATATACATTGTTCTTCGTGTAGAGTGACTCTCGGTCCAGGACTGCAGCCGTGGTGATCTGCCCATTGGATGTATTGATGTGCAGCCAGTTGGCGGGATCAGACAGCTTCGAGTACCTGTGGACAGGAAGTCGGAGGCAAGGTGAGGGCCCGGTGCTCTTCACCCAGGCAACCCTGCAGTATCCTAGGGGGCCACGGCGTCAGCATCCTGGACCATAGCACAACGGCATTGCTGTCCCCTCAGGGTGCGTGGAGATTCCGCACACCTCTGTGTCCCTCCGGCCACAGCAGTGGCTTAGGTCCTGTGGTAGGTGGTCTAGATTCTGTAGGACTCAAGGAGGCTGTGCTCTCATCAGCTACATTTTGCAGGTGGCTATTCTAAGGTACAGAGAAGGTAAGGGGCTTGCTTAGGCCACACGCCACTGTCAGAGGAACCCTGGTTCCATAGTCTCGCATCTTCCTTGTCAGCCCGGACATGGTGACGGTGCTTATCTGTGCCCAAGGCTGTCCTGTTAAGCGACTCCCCAGGGTGGGCTGCCTCTAGATTGAGCCAATGCCTCAGGTCTGGACAGGGTACCTCTTGTCCTTCCTCTTTGTACTGGGATTCCTGGTTTTTAGGCTACTTTGACACTGTGGGACTCTTTTGTGCGGTGAAGAGAGGGTCGGACAAGGCCAGGCCACACTAAGCACTCACCTCACGGCTTGCTGCATGAACCGGTCGGGGTCCACTGCAGAAAAAGTGGTGAGCGCCGTGCCGGTAGGCACGCCCTCCTCCAGACGGATCAGTTTGTGGTTGGAGGGGAAGTAGGGGGCCTCGTTGACATCAGTGACGGAGATGGTCACCCCTGCTGTGGACTGGAAAGACATCTGGATCCCACTGGCCAGGGGTGCCTGGTTGGACACCATGACAGTCAGCATGAAGGCGCGGTTGAGCTCGTAGTCCACTGCCTGGAAGAGGGGACAGGTGAACTGGGGGGCTTCCTATAGCGGGTGTGGGTTGGCCATCCCGCACTGGCGGGTGACTCTCCCTGCCTTGCTTTGTCTGATCACCACTGTCCCTCTACATCAGACCCTTGTTTCTGATGTCTTCTGGCCAACCCAAGGAGAGAGGGGTTGGAATAAAACTCTAGCCAGCAGCTCCCCATGCCTTGACGAGGAAGAGGCTGGGCTTCTGGGGCATGGATCTTTCGGCCTTAGCTTCCCAAGTGTTGGGATTTGCAGGTGTGTATCTCCATGCCTGGCTTCATGATCGCTCAGTAGCAATTCCTTAATTACTGTGTGGGCGGAGCAATGGCCTCCAAGATACCCAGGGACAAATGTGCTGAGGCTCTTGAGAGTCACTGCAGCCACCGGAAGCTCAGAAAATGCAACCAAGAGCCAGGAGTAATGATGGCCAAAGGTTGACCTTGGTTTCAGGGTGGGTAAGATGGATCGGTGAATAAAGACAGCTGCCGCCGTGTCCGAGGATGTAGAACCCACGTGGTTGGAGCAGAGAACCAGCTCCTGCAAGTTGTCCTCTTGCAGGGGTAGCACATGTGTCTCCCCCGGCCCCACACTAAATAAAATAAAAGTTTGAAAAGTACGTTTTTTGGGGCTGGAGAGATGGCTCAGTGGTTAAGAGCACTGGTTGCTCTCCAAAGGACCTGGGTTCAAAACCCAGCACCCACATGGCGGCTCACAACAGTCTATAATGAGATCTGATGCCCTTGTCTGGCCTGCAGGCATGCATGCAGACAGAACACTGTATACATAATCAATAAATAAATCTTTAAAAATAAAGAAAAGTAAGTTTTTTCAGGACACAGCAGTGCATGCCTGCTACCCTGCACTCAGGGGTCCGAGGCAGGAGGACTGCAAGCTCGAGGTTGGCCTGGAAGACATAGGGAAAATGTCTCAAAACCCCAGACCAAGCCCAGCCAAGCAACGACATCTAAGCCTTTTGCTGACCTAGCTTTTCCTTGGGCTTGGTGCCAGCTTTGTGTTCCCAGTTGGAGACTTAGGGTCATACGAACGTAGTTCCGGGGTCGGAAATAAAATGTGTGTCCCTGGGCTAGAGTCCAGCAGCGGGGCCGGTTCCTTCCAGAGACTCTCACACATTTCCACTCTGGAGAGTGGGGTCCTGCGGCTCTTCAGAGCCGGCTGTGGCTGCCTGCCTCCAACCTCTTCTGACTCCTGCCTCTGTCTTCACATTCCCTCTTTGTGCTGGTTAGTTTAGGTCAACACAAGCTAGTGTCCATTTATTTATTTGTTTGTTTGTTTGTTTATTTATTTTGTTTTTTCAAGGCAGGGTTTCTCTGTGGCTTTGGAGGCTGTCCTGGAACTAGCTCTTGTAGACCAGGCTGGTTTTGCACTCACAGAGACCCGCCTGCCTCTGCCTCCTGAGTGCTGGGATTAAAGGCGTGCGCCACCAACGCCCGGCTGCATCCTTTTAAAGGAGGGTACCTCAGTTGAAACAAGCTGCTACCAAGTTGGCCTGTGATAAATGGATGATGTGGGAGGACCCAGCCCCCTGTGGGTGGGGCCACCCCTGAGCAGGTACTGGGAGAAAGCAGCTGAGCAAGCTATGGGGGACAATCTAGGAAGCCACACTCCTCCACGGCTCTGCATCAGCTCCTGTCTCCGGGTTCCTGCCCTGGTTGAGTTCCTGCCCTGACTCCCCTCAATGATAGACTGTGCATGGGACACGTGAGCAGAAATAAACCCTCTCCTCCCCCCCCCGCAAGTTACTTTTGGTCATGATGCTTATCACTGTAATAGAGACCCCAACTAAGACACGCCCTGACCTTTCTGCTCCCCCTCTCAGAGACCTCTGAGGTTGCACTGGGCCGACCCAGATGGTCCAGGCTTTCCTCAAACCTTAAGACCCTCAACACTGTTACATCTACAAAGACCCTGCTGCCATCTGGGACAGCCACAGATTCTAGAAAACAGGCACAGGGTCCTGGGGGAAACAGCACTGAAGACGTTTCCAGGCCCCTGCTTTTGAGAAAGGCTTCTGCATCCGGTCGGAACTCAGGAAAGTGCTGGACGAGGGGATGCTGAGAGCGGCCCATGTGAGGAATAGACCGGAACCCTGAATTACGTCAGCAGATGGACGGTGCAGAGCTTGCTCGGTGCACTACCCTGCAGCCTGCTGTCACTTTATGGGAGGGTCTGTCTGTCACCACCCGAGTCCACAGGCCATATCTTGATGGCCTTAAGCAAGACAGCCATAGACCACAGCTCCCTAGCTCCCAGCCTCTCCCTGAAGGACCCTTCCTGGCTAACTCTTTCTTCAAAGGAGGCTCGAGAGAACATGGCTAGGGCACTTGCTCAGATGACGTCAGGCGTCCAAAGTCACCTGACTCAGGGCAAAGGTAGGTAGGATATGAAGCCTGACAGTTACGGGTTACGGGGGATTCACGTGGCAGGCCACATGGCTCCCTGTCTCTTACTGTAGGCCTGCCTGGGTCGTCATGAGCTCTGTTTGGGGAAGGGCTTTGCTGGGGGGGCCGGCTTCCCACTTCCGTCTGTGTTCTACCTTCAGGTGCCAACCCTTGTGCTGGGCCTGACTCCCGAGTCTGTGGCTAAGTGGATCTGAACCCAGCCCTTCTCTGGATACCTATCCTTGGAGCCCCGGATTGCGGTGTCCTAGTATGCTACTATGTGAGGAATTAAAAACTAGGTCATCAATAGTGCCGCTGGGCACGGGAAGGAAATATAGGGACTGGTGTCTAGAAGTATCCAGAGGGGGTGCCAGAGAGGCCGCTCCCTGATGGCGACCTTGGTGAGCCCTCACTTTACCCAAGCCCTGAGTATGATCTCATCGCTCCGTGGTATTTATTTACTATGCCCACCTGTCATTGCCCCCAGGACCTGGAGCATGGCCGGGCCTGTGCTCTGCCTCCTTAGGCTCAGGTATTGCTGGCGAGGTCAATGTACAAGTGGGAATGGGCTGGTCCCTCCTTGCCCTATCTCTGCCCAGTTTGTACTGTGTGGTTGGATGCCATACAGGTACAGATATCTATAGGGCCTGTGCCTACGGGGTCACTTGGTTTGGACCCACGACCACCCCGGCTGGCTGCAAGTCTGACATGGTATCCAGGGTAGAGTAGCCTGTGCCTTCTCTTGAAAGGTCTCACAGGGGCTTTTAGACCTAGTCCTGGTTCCTCTGTCCTTAAACCCCAGGTGCCGCCAAGCTCCCAGAACTGGTACTGCACTGTGACAAGGTCTTCCCCAATGACTGCCAATGCCCAGAGCCCCTCCTGGAAGCCCCAGGCAGAGGTCAAGCCAATTTGCTCTAACAGGCTGCTTCATAAGACTGTGGAAAGAACTTTCTCTTTGTGCTTATCAGTCCTTCCAGAAAGACTATGGCTAATCAAATCCACAGACAGGTAAAATAAAAACACACCTGTAATGTGGAAGCCGATAGAAAATTTGTTCTGACAGTTTCATACTCACTAAGGTGACACCCACCCCCAAAGACTCTTGGCTCAAAAGGGAGGCCCGAGCGCAGCCTGGAGAGGTGCGCCCCAGCATCAAGCCAGAGAGCAGGGACCTAACACATCCTCCTGCCTCTGAGAGCTGTGCCACCGGGCGTGTGTGTGGCCTCATCAGAAGCAGAATCTTGTTCAGAAGAAAATGCCAGTGAGGACATGAAGGCCCGAATCTGAACCATTTCTTCTTTCCCAGTGGAAAATGGTGGGTGAGCGGTGGAGCCAGGAGGTTCAGGAGTTTAAGGTCAGCTTTGGCTGCACAAGTTTATAAGAGACCCTGTGGAGGTTGTCTCCAAAGGGTTTGGCCCTCTGCCCTAGGTGGCTGATGGACATGCATGCTCCTGGAGCGGGGAATGTGCTGGTAACAGTCACCCACCTTCACCACGGTGACCATGCCCTCATTGGTGACGGGGTCTGTGCGGACAGTGAAGTGCCCCGAGGGGTCCCCACTGATGATTCGGTAGACCGCGTTCCAGTTGGGTGAGTGGGGCTGATCTCGATCCATTACTGTGAGGTTGGCTACTACTGTCTCCACACGGTTTTCGGGGACCTCTCCTGCAAACTGCAGAATGGAAGAAAGAGTATTAGGACCTCATATAGAGCCCTGGGGGCCAGCCTTGCTGGACCCGACCGACACTGGGGAGCGGTAGGGTCACACTGCTCTGGAGAAGACGCCCTAGGGGGATGGGACAGCTGGTGTTCACCGTGATGACAGAGTGCCCGGGCTCCTCAAGCTGAGGACCGGTAGCACCCAAGGCTCCCATCTGCTCCCATCTCCCAGAAAAAGCCTCACCTGTGCAGTGAGGGCTTGCACAGGCTCCCCTCCTACACTGAAGCTCTTCTCGTGTGCGTGGAGGATCAGAGGCAAGCGGCCAGGAGGGGTACATGGTGGAGAGCAGGGGTGGGGTGGGGGGAGCAGGACTCTAACAGTGGCAGCCGGAGGACGCTTCTGAGGGTAGCATGTCCTGGCTCCTGCCGCCATCAGGCCACTGCTCCAGGTAGCTTGGGATCGGCCACTGTGGCCGGTGACCAAACAGTACAGCGAGGTTGCAGTGTGTACCTGCGAAGGCTCCGGGGCCTCACTTGGAGTGGAGAGGAATGTGTCTGCTTTAGGAACCTGTGTCCCCCGTGTCCACCGCCAGCTGTGGCCCACTGCTGGGGCTGGCTTCTAGATTCTGTTCTCAGCCAGAAGCTCTGAGCTCACGGGCTCTGCTGTCTTGAAATTAGCAAGATACACACCTGTCTTGTCAATTCAGGATCAGATGGGAGCCTCCGTGCGTATCCTAAAGGATGTCCCCACAGTGTCCCCCAGGGCTGCTCCAGAACCTGCCTCTCCCAGTCTCCCGCTGGAGACTTCATGTGATTTTCAGGCTGTGGTCGTCCGAGGCCTGAGGCTACAGAGGGTCCCTTAGGAGGCGCCAGGAGAGTAAGGGAAGCAGGTGGACACAGCCCGCTTCCAGAGGGTCCTACTTTCAAACCTCCCCCTTTGCCAGATAGCACAGAGGGTGCATGAATCAGTCTCAGAGAGGACAGCAGACCTGAGTTGTGGGCATACATGGCCAGGGTCTGGCTTCCTCACTGGGCCCCCGGGCGCCTCTGTGTGTCTGGGTGAGGCTGCTGTTGCTGGTGGCCTCCATAGTGAGTCTCCCCTGCCCCCTGTCACTGACATTCTGAGGCAGCAATAGGGTTGCCACACTGTCTGAGTGTCCCCACACCACGATACGGGGCGCTTTCCTTGGAGGGAGGCCACGGGGGCTTAGGGGCACGCTGTGTTGCAGGCTGTGTCATGTCCTCCAAGTTCACATGTTGAGGCCCTTAGCTCCAGCACCTCAGCCTGTAACCGAGTCTCAAGAGGTGTCAGCATGAGTCTGGGAGTTGTCCTAACCCAGCCCGTGTGGCACCCTTGTGACAGACAGTCCCCAGTGGCACCTGTATTAGGGTGTATTAGTTATATGTTACACCCAGGCTATTGGGGTGGGTGCCTCTAGGAGGACCTTAAAACCTTGGCGCCTGTGGGCACAGATCCTTGACTGTTAAAGTTCAGTGGACGCCTGTGGGCACAGATCTTTGACTCTTAAAGTTCAGCGGACCCCTGCCCCTGGGGAAGCAAATTTCAGGCCTGGCAAATGAGCCATCTGCCCGTGACTGCCGCCTGCCTGCTCCGGTTTGGATAAGAGTCCCAGGTGTTGAAGATTTGGTCTCTAGACCGAGGCAGTGCTGGGAACAGGGTAGAAAGTATGGAAGTAGACGTGGGTTAGTGGGAGGGAGTCAGGTGAGGGGGTGGGGTTGTGCTCTTGAGGGGGTTACGGGGACCCCGACCCCTTTGTGTCTGTCTTGGCTTCCTGGCGACTAAGTGAGCAGTTTCGTCTGCTTCATGCTCCCACTCCCCATGCTTTGGGGTCTCAGCTCAGGTCCACAGTGACCACGGATGGGAACCTCGGAGGACACGCGCGGAAACAGGCTTCTCCTCACTGAACACCAGCGATCTCACTGTCACAGTTCAGAGATCCGATACCAGGTGCGCCACACAGCCTGGCCCAGTGCCCTCCAGATGGGCACTGCCCTTTATCCTGCTGGGAGGTGGCCTGTGGGAACACCGTGACCTTCTTCCGCCTCTCAGTCATTTAACTTAGTGTCACTCGCACCTGTGAGGGGACAGGCCATCTTGCACAGGCAAACAGCAAACGCCCCTGTGGTTGGGCTGCATAGGCTGGGCCTGCATGGCTCTCCCCCTCTGTCTTTAAAAGCGGAGGGACGGTGTGGAAAGCCTTGGGGATTGCTCCTGCCTTTTCACTGCTAAAGGCTGAGCTGGGCTAGGGCTGCCCCGTCTGTAGGTAAAGCCTGTGTATTGTTCAGGCGCAAGCTTCCTAGAACAATGCCCCAAACCCATCAACCACACACTAACGTAAAATGTAGACAAGCTTTCTGGGCTCAGAGAGGTCTGGGCATCAGCCGTGGCCACACAGCAAGAACAGATGAACAGTAGCTCAGGAGTGGCTGTGTGTGGGTGGGAGGGGCGGGACTTAGAGGAAGGACCCAGCTGCTGGGTCTCAGGGTTCCCCTGTCCCCATTGGGATCTGTGCATGGGGCAGGCTGGAGGCTCCGGGGACATGGTGTGAAGGTTGTTTTCCACCCCAGCCTGTCCTGCATCACTCTGGAGGGGAGTGCTGCTGGCAGGGATGCCCTGGGTGAGCTGTGGACTCTGCCCTCCAGGGGGCACTGCAGCTGCCTAGGAGCAGGAAGGAAATAACTTTAAATTAACACTTAAGGATAGAAATCGGAGCTGGCAAGTCCCTGCATCTCTTTAGCTTTGCCTGATTGTTCTTGATTAAGCTTCACAAAAATAGCCCATGTGTGGTGTGTGCCCAACCTGCCCGCACAACACCCCCACTGTGAAGCAAAGATGGGGTCCCGGGGCACCTGCCTGCCACTCATCTGGATGGGGCCTGGTAAGGGCCACCTGCAGCCCACGCATGTGCAGATGTCTGTGGAGGGCATGCTGAAGAAGAGGAGGCGTGAGGCTTGGCTTGGAAAAGTGTCCTGTACTCATGGAATTTCAGACGGCCGCCTGCTGGTCCCTCCTTGCCCTCCATGCCCCAGGGAAGCAGGAGTTCCCACCATCCCTCCTGGGTTTCACGGACCAACCTCTGGGAAGAGCTTGTGTGCCATTGTGTTCCAGCTGCTGTGACCCTCCAGATGTGACCCTCCAGTCTGGAATGGGCACAGGGGTGTGTTCTTGGGAGCACAGGTGGCCCTGATTTAGCAGAGGGTCTGAGCTCCATGTGATTATCCTGGGGTCCCACAGCACTGATGCCTGGCTTAGTAGTGCTGGCCTTGTAGGGAAAAAGGGCCAGCCAAAGAAACACACCCTGAGCAGAGCCAAAGAAACACATTTTGTCTCCGGAATCAGAGAAATACACCCTGGCCCTAACATTAGAGCCAAAGGCTAACAAGGACCTGAGCAGAAACCCAACCAATCCCTGAGCAGGAGATCTAGCCAATCTGAGCTCAGGGATTGAAATCTGGAAATCTCCCTGGAAAAACTCCACCCCTAAGAAGCTCTATATAAACCCTGTGCCTGTTCAGTTTGTGGCTTTCAGGCTGTCCAGCTGTCCTCTGTACCATGGCAGAGGCAGCCACTCTCTTGGATTCTTCCCTCCCAGTAAATCTCTCTCTCTCTCTCTCTCTCTCTCTCTCTCTCTCTCTCTCTCTCTCTCTCTCTCTCTTTTCATTTTTTAAGACAGGGTTTCTCTGTATTGTTTTGGAGGTTGTCCTGGAACTCGCTCTGTAGACCAGGCTGGCTTTGAACGCACAGAGATCTGCCTGCCTCTGCCTCCTGAGTGCTGGGATTAAAGGCGTGTGCCACCAACGCCCAGACCAGTAAATCTCTTGAATGAAGTTTGGGTGAGAACTTCCTTTGCTGGAGACAGACCAGAGAGGAGTGGAACAGGGCTGTAACACTTTCTCTGGTGAAACCTTCCCCTGGCTAAGCAGAGTTTAGGAGTTGTTACATTCCACTCCAGGGGACCTGAGCTGAACTGTAACAACTTTGCTGGGGAAGCCCTCCCCTGCTGGAGCAGAGTTGATACACTGGGGAAGCCTTTCCCTGGAGCAGGGCTCTAAGTTGCTACACTTACTGTGACCTGTGGTATTCCTTGACTCCCGATTGCCATCTGAGCTGCAATACTCAACATTCTTTGGTTTCTGAGTGCCAGAACCCCTTTCCATCTGAGCTGTAACACTCAGTATTCTGTGACTCCTGAGTGCCAGGATCCCTTTCCATCTGAGCTGTAACACTCAGTATTCTGTGACTCCTGAGTGCCAGGATCCCTTTCCATCTGAGCTGTAACACTCAGTATTCTGTGACTCCTGAGTGCCAGGATCCCTTTCCATCTGAGTTGCTGAAATGCTTACAGTCCTGATCCCCACCCCAACCAAACACAACCTAGAGTTATTTGGAAGAAGAACCTTATTTGAGAAAAATTCCTTCATCATATTACCTGCAGGCAAATCTGTAGGCAACTTTCTTGATTGACATCTGACGTGGGAGCACCTGGCTGGTGGTGGTCCTGGGTGCTATAAGAAAGCAGGCTGAGCAGGCCATGAGGAGTGAGCCAGTGAGCGGCACTCCTCCATGGTCTCTGCTTCAGCTCCTACCTCAAGGTTCCTGCCCCGGGTTTCTGCCCTGAGTTTGTTTCCTGGGGCTGAAACTATGGATCTGCTATCAGAATGCCCGAGCTAAATTAACCCTTTCCTCCCCAGGTTGCATCTGGTGATGACGTTTTATCGCAGCGGCAGAAACCCGATGAAGACAAGCGGGTTCGTGTCTGAGAGTGGCACCGGCTTCTGCTCCTAACAAGGTCACCGCGGGTGCCTTCCCTGCCCTCCTGCAACGGCTGGGGCAAAGCACGGTCTAGACCAGGAGTGGCCTCAGTGTGGGCACCAACTAACCGTCTCCACCAGCTGCCAGCCGGGAGTCCCTGCACTGTCACGGAATATGGTTGCCAGGCCGAGCACTGCCCACCAAGCTCTTCAGAGGCCTGTCCCTCCAGGCCCAGGCAGAAGGATGGCTGTGCCAGGGGTGTCGCTTACAGGTCTAGGGTCAGTGACTGCTTCACCGGAGTCTGGCCCTGGCCTTTCTTCCTCTTGTCTGATAGAGGGAGAGCAAGCCGACTGAATCCAGAGACAGGCCCCTTCGGCTTTCTCAAGGCCTCTTTTGATAGCGCACAAGCGCTTCTCCAGGGCGAGCAGCCTGGCCAAACCCTCTACCCCTCCTCCTTCCTGCTCCTGATGCTTGCCTTAAGGGACAGGACAGCGCTTGTTGTTGGCCATCTATTTGGCCACTAGATGGTGCTGTGGTCCAAGAGACCGGGAAGGTGGGGGCATGTTCATGTTCCTGCCTGGGCTCCATCCAGCCTTCTAGGCAGGCACCTTGACCTTAGGCAGACTGGCGTCCCCTCTCTTCCATCTCCACATGGCAGTCACTTTCAGGGTTCAGTACCAGCTGTTTCCCGTGGGCTGTGTGCCTGGAGCCCCACATCCTGGCCCATTACCGGGGGAGGGCCAGACTCTGATAGGGCAGACTGGTTGGGGCCTGATGGGAGAGTGTCCTCCCGTGTGTCTGTCTGACAAAGTACTCGTTACTGTTATGGACGCACGCCCCTCTTCTCTCTGCCTCTGACCTCCCGACCTCCTGACCTCCTGACGTCCCCCTCTGCATACCCTGGCCAGACACCTGCAGTCTGCCGTCTGTTCAGGGCTGGGCTGCACCATGTGTTCACAGGGGTGCATGCAGGAACCACTCTGGTCACAGCCCCGTTCACCCATCCATGGACTTGGGCGCCATGGAGGCGGATGCTAGCAAGCAGAGAGATGTCTGAGGCCAGGATGCTGGGAGGCCCGAAAGTGGTTATCACGTCTGCTGGCCACCAAGAGAGCCTAAGGGTCTCATAGACAGGGACCCTCTCCGCAGCATGGCTGCTCCGTGTGGGAGTCCAGGGGAGATGGGGGTCATGTGACTTACAGTTCTGTCTCCAGAACCTTCTCTCCCAGGGTGGGGTGGAGTATGTTCCTCTGACCCATGGCTAGAGGCTCACAGTGGACTTTCCGTACCGTAGTTGGGAGGGTACAAGAATGTTCAGCAAGATCCCTTGGCTTCTAGGGCCCCAGTGTCCAGTGTCTGCCCAGTCTTTACCAATTTCCTTGTCTGGGGATGGGAACCGCATGGGGGACAGCCACTGTCTACTGAGGACCAAGGTAGAGAGGGGACCCTTGCTTCAAGGACACACATGCCCATGGCCAAGGCTCAGCTGGGCATCTGGCAAGCAAGTCACACAAGCCTGCCCCAATATATCATAGCCTGATCGGTCACCTTCCCCAGACTTTACACACATCTCAGCAAGGTATCAGCCAATCACTTAATAGTGGGGAGCACCAGGCCCTTGGGGCTACCTCTCCACAAGAGTGTCTAGGCCCGTTCTTTCCCATTAGGGACGGCTGGCATGGTGTCCCTCTCTGTCGGTCGCCTATGCCTCAGTATTCGTTACTCACAATCCATTCAGCTCTTCTTCCCCTACTGAGAGGGACGTGCCAGCTCGGGGCGGCATCGCTGTGAGGATGTGAGGTACTCACCGTGCTGGTGGTGAATTCTGGAGGGTTGTCATTTACGTCTGTCACCGTGATGATGGCTGTGGCTGTGTTCGAGAGACCATAGTTAAGGTTTCCTTCCATGTCAGTGGCCTGGACGATGACTGTGTACTGCTGGACTTTCTGGAGGGGACAAAGACAATGGGTCGGTTTGGGCTCGGAAGATGGGAGATGCCGGCTTCCTCAGCGGGGTTCATCTTTGGCACAGGCTGCCTGGGACTTCCTGGGTCTGCGGCACCTGCTGTAGCCTTGTGGCGGGTGGCTGGGGCAGGAGGCCAACGTGCCCTTCAGCGGGTACAGGGGGGCAGAGCAGCGGGGTTCAGAGGGACCTGCGCCGTCTTCAGAGTGGGGTAGCAGGGAGGACAGTCTGCAGGGTGAAGGGGCAGGCTCAGGGCTGTCACTGTTGGAGTAAAGCTGAACTGGAGGCTAGGACTGGAGTCGGGGAAGGAATGACAGGCCAGCAAATGGTGAGACACAGCAGTGTGGCTCGCGAGCTCCCCAGGGAAGGAGAAAGCATCTGGACGCAGGCGTGCTCCTTGGAAGGCAGCAAGGGGTGAGGATATGCTGTGTCGGGCAACCAGGGAGTCACGTGACCCCTCCCCTGCTCACTGCCTGCAGGGAGAGGTGGAAACGCTGGGATCAAGCATCTCCCCTGACCAGAGGTGGCAGCGCTGGCCAGCCTGGGGGTCAGCTCTGTGGGGACCCTGGCCCTTCGCACTGGCACCACTGGGGACAGGGTAAACTCAGCACTGCCACCCGTGTGGCACTGGGAAAAAAGATAAACAGAAATAAAGAGGCACGTGCTTCTTATGGTTGAGTACATGTGCCTGCGTGTGTGTGTGTGTGTGTGTGTGTGTGTGTGTGCACGAATGCTTGTGGGCACGTAGGGTTGCGTGTAACCTGCATGCATGTGTGTGTGCATATTCATGTGTGTGTACACACCTGTAGGTCTCTGTGCTTATGTTTACAGTGTGCATGTCTGTGTGTGTCTGTGTGTGTGTACAGCAGCCTGCCACCAGAGGGCGAGCTGGGCTTGCTTTTGGACAGCAGGATCCTGGGAGGGAAGCTAGTCCAGCAAGACAGGAGAAATACTGCAGGGCCTCAGAAGAAGCAGGCCAGTCAGGCTCTAGAGTCTACTGCCTGCCTCTGAGCCCATGTGGGGGCTCAGTTGGGCAGCCTCTGCCCCTGTATTATCCCTCCAGGGAGATAGGACACATTTTCAGGAGGTGCTGTGTTCAGAGTCACCCCTACTGGTCACCTGCTTTCAAACCATGGAACCCCTTCCCCTGCTCCCATTCAGTACAGAGAACAGGGCAGGTGCCCCTGGAGCTGGTCCTGGTGAAGCTGCAGTGAATTCATTACAAAGCTATTTAACCATTTTCAAGTTTGAGAACAGGAAGCAGACATTCCTAGGGCTTTCACTCACCTCCTTCAGCCCAGCATGCAAACTCTGCAGAACACCCATCAATAATGCATCAGTCAGTATGCCCCAGATAGTACACGAGCTTCCTCAGCCTGTGCTCATATGCAACATCCCCAGCCTGTCCCTGTATGCAACATCCCCAGCCTGTCCCTGTATGCAACATCCCCAGCCTGTCCCTGTATGCAACATCCCCAGCCTGCCCCTGTATGCAACATCCCCAGCCTGCCCCTGTATGCAACATCCCCAGCCTGTCCCTGTATGCAACATCCCCAGCCTGTCCCTGTATGCAACATCCCCAGCCTGTCCCTGTATGCAACATCCCCAGCCTGCCCCTGTATGCAACATCCCCAGCCTGCCCTTGTATGCAACATCCCCAGCCTGTCCCTGTATGTAACATCCCCAGCCTGTCCCTGTATGCAACATCCCCAGCCTGTCCCTGTGTGCAACATCCCCAGCCTGCCCCTGTATGCAACATCCCCAGCCTGTCCCTGTATGCAACATCCCCAGCCTGTCCCTGTATGCAACATCCCCAGCCTGCCCCTGTATGCAACATCCCCAGCCTGTCCCTGTATGCAACATCCCCAGCCTGTCCCTGTATGCAACATCCCCAGCCTGTCCCTGTATGCAACATCCCCAGCCTGTCCCTGTATGTAACATCCCTTGCTAGCCTGGACTGTTGTCCAGCTAGCTGTGTTCTCTAGGTCAGCCTGAGTCCATATCTGGGAGCTCCCGACTTCCCCTCAGACGCTGCCCCCAGTGAGTTTTGAGACTGTCTTACCCACCAGGATGCAAGCAAGTCTCCTACTCATTCTGGGTTCTCTGACCCTAGCAGGTGGTCATATGGGGGTATAAATTGTAGGACCCCCCAAATCCCTTCATTCTCCATTGAGGCCGAAGCCATCGCTGGCCACTCTGCTCTGTTCAGGGCCGTTCGATCCCAGCTTCCCATGGTTCCCAGGGGTCGCTCCTCTTGGGCTTTCCCATCGGTCACCGATGGAACCTTTGTCTCCTCAGACCCTGGGAAGTGGAGCAGCTGAGGCCGCCCTCTTGTTGCTCAGCATCTAGAGACTGCTCTGTGCCCAAGAGCCCAATGAGGTGGTTGGCAGGGTAAGCACTGTGGAAACAGTGGAAAGCTGTACTTCAGGTCGGCACACGGCCTAGAACCCCACTCCTGGGTGTGGATCCAAGAGCTCAAAATAGTGTTCACACAAATGGTGTGCACCAGTGTGCACACCACACCATCCATCCACACAAATGGTATGTACCAATGTGCATACTGTACCGTACACACAAAAGGTATACACCAATGTGCATACTGCACCACCCACACAATGGTGAACACCAGTGTGCACACGGTACCGACCACACAAATGGTGTACACCAGCGTGCACACGGCACCATCCACAAAGGCCAGCCAGTCCATGATGGTTACTCAAAACATGGTATGTCCACACGATGGAGTATTGCTCAGCCACAAAAGGGAAAAGCCTTTGGACACCTGCTACGCCCAGATGAACCCCAAAGCCCTTGTGTCAGGTGACAGCAGCCAGTCCCACAAGCCACACGGGTGTCCCCATTAAGGAGAAGTGTTGACATGGGGCAAGTCCACAGAAGGCAGGGGGATGACACCAGCACTGTGGGGCTTCTTTTAGGGGCGACGGGAGAATGCCCAGGAGCTCTGCAGAAGTGATGGATGTGCAGCCCTGTGTGAGCGAACTGAGAGGCTGAATTCCACGGCATGCAAATTACAGCTCAAGCCGCTGGAGCCAGGCCTAAGGAGAAACCCAATTCTTCTCAGTGGGGTGCACCTAGCTCTTCCTTCCCACTGCTGCTGCCTGTGGGGGACCCAATGCAGGCCGTAAGCCTTGGGCTTGGAACATGCTGTGGGTGGCACGGCCCTGCGCTCATCAGCCGCCCAGTCTCTTGGGACCCGAGGGGACTCCGTTCACTATCCTCCATGGTTGCTGGGGGGATGCTGTTGGGGGTCTCACGCTTCCATACAACCCCAGGGTGACCCTTCCAGCAGGCTGAGCCCTGCCATGGAGCGGTCCTGCCCCTCTGCAGGCTGCTCAACCTATTCTCCTGCATCCCAGAGCCAGGGGGAGACAATTCCTGTGTGGATGGACCGTCGGGGTCACATGTGTCTACAGTGGCCCTGGGTCCCAGCATGGGGGGGAGGGTGTCTGCAGTGTGGGAGAGTCTTTCTTGCTCAGGGGTGGAGTGGGGAAGCTGCTTGCACATCTCACAGTGTGCCCAGGTTGACTCTTGGTGACAGCTCGGCACCAAGAAGTTGCCTAAGTGCAGAGCCAAGGCCACCAGCAGGGGCTCCTTGCAAGGGTGGCCCCCAGAATGGCTGATGTCTTGGGCAAACATTTCAGGGACCGTTGCAGTCTCTAGAGTCCGGGCTTCCCTAGCCTCCTCTCCTCACTCTAGGATATGAGTAAAAACCAGGTTCTGGGTCTGGAGAGATGGCTCAGTGGTTAGGAGCACGTACTGCTCTTGTTGCGGGGACCTGAGTCTGAGTCTGTGTCTCACTCCAGCTCTTCTGGGGGATTGAACTCCTCTCTCTCTCTCTCTCTCTCTCTCTCTCTCTCTCTCTCTCTCTCTCTCTCACACACACACACACACACCGTGTAATTAAAAATAATAATCACAAATCTTTAGAACAACCCCCACTCCCCAGTCCTGCGTGAGCCTCTAGCTGCTGAGTCAAAGTTTCTTGCTCACTGCAGCCTGGGGTGGAGGTGGTGGTGGAGGTGGAGGTGGAGGTGGAGGTGGTGGTGGTGGTGGTGGTGGTGGTGGTGGTGGTGGAGGTGGAGGTGGTGGAGGTGGAGGTGGAGGTGGTGGTGGTGGAGGTGGTGGTGGAGGTGGAGGTGGAGGTGGAGGTGGTGGTGGTGGTGGTGGTGGAGGTGGAGGTGGAGGTGGAGGTGGAGGTGGTGGTGGTGGTGGTGGTGGAGGTGGAGGTGGAGGTGGAGGTGGAGGTGGTGGTGGTGGTGGTGGTGGAGGTGGAGGTGGAGGTGGAGGTGGTGGTGGTGGTGGTGGTGGGGGTGGTGGTGGTGGTGGTGGTGGTGACTCTCTGCTACACCCCCTGGCCAGGGTGTGTGTGTGTGCTACAGAACCACCCAGGGGCTCCTGTCTGCCTTGTCCTGCCATCAACTCCTGGCACTGCCTGTATGACTCCCGAGGGGGCTCCCCTCCTCTTCCCTTCCAGCCAGCAGCTCTTTCTGCAGCATCAAAAGCAGAGAAAACGCAACTCTTCTCAGTGGGGTGCACACAGCCCCCTCCTCCCCCACTGCCGCTGCCGCCGGTGGGGAGCCAACAGCCTAGCAAGCCTCAGGCTGGAACATGATGGAGTCAGCTGTACTGCTCGCTTGCTCGCTGGCTGGGCTCTCGCCAGTCACTTGGTCCCTCCCCCCCCCTCTCTTCTCCGCTGGGCACCGCCCATGACAACTGAGGGCTTGTGGAGGCCCCCCCCCCTGCAAGGAAGGGAACCAGGCTGAGGCTGGAGTGGCAGGAGTGTCCCTGCTTCAAATCCTGAGGGCTGAGGGATCTAGGTACCTTCTCAGCCCTTCTTGGCAACCCCCTCCAGCTCTCAGGTGCCCCCTCCAGGCTGCTGACTGAAATTGCAGGCGGAACACTGCCCTCTTTTCTCTTTCCCTTTCTTTCTCCTTGAGGGTGTGGACTTGCCCACCCTTTGGGC